GGTTAGTGGTTAGGGTTATGGGTTAGGGTTAGGGGTTAGTGTTTAGTGCTTAGGGTTATGGTCAGGGTTCGGGCTTGGGGTTATGGGTTACGTTTGGGATTAGGGGTTAGTGTTAAAGTTAGGAGTTAGGCGTTAGGGTTAGGTTTAGGGTTAGGGGGGTTATGTTTTGAATTAGGGGGGTTCGGGTTAGGGGGTTTAGGGTTAGGGTGGTTAGGTTTAGAGGGGTTAGGTTTAGGGGGTTAGGGTTAGGGGGTTTAACGATAGGGGTGTTAAGGTTTAGGGTTAGGGTTAGGGTTAGGGTTAGGGATAGGGTTAGGCTTGGGGATAGGGGTTAGTGGTAGGGGTTAGGGGTTAGGTGTTAGGGGTTAGGAGATAGTGGTTAGGGGTTAGGAGTTGGGTTAGGGTTAGGGGTTAGGGTTAGGGGTAGGTTTAGGGATTAGTGGTTAGCGTTAGTGTTAGGGTTAGGGGTTAGTCGTTATGGGTAGGGTTAGGGTTAGGGTTACGGTTTAGGTTCAGGTTTTAGGGTTAGGTTTTAGGGTTAGGTTTTCGGGTTTGGGTTTAAGTTTTGGGTTTAGGGTTTAGGCTTAGGGTTATGGGTTATGGTTAGAAGTTTAGTGGTTAGGGATTTAGGATAGGGTAACTGCTAGCTTTAGGGGTTAAGGGTAGGGTTTAGGGTTTAGGGTTAGTGTTTAGGGTTTGTGGTTAGGGATTATGGGTAGGGTTAGATGTAGGGTTAGGGGTTAATGGTGAGGCTTAGGTTTAAGGTTAAGAGGTTAGGGTTAGGTTTAAGTGTTTTAGGTTAGGGTTACGGTTTCGGGGTTATCGTTACTGATTAGGATTAGGGGTTAGGGTTTAGCGTCATGGTTAGGGTTTAGTGTTCGGGTTAGGGGTTATGGGTTACGTTTAGGTTTAGGGATTAGGGTTAGAGTTAGGAGATAGGCGTTAGGATTAAGGTTAGGATTAGGGGAGTTAGGGTTATTGTTATGGTCATTGGGGTTCGGGTTAGGATTAGAATTAGGGGGGTTAGGATTAGGGATTTTAGGGTTAGAGGTTTAAGATTATGGAGTGTAATGGTTAGGTTTATGGTTAGGGTTAGGCTTAGGGTTAGTGTTAGGTTGAGGGTTAGGCTTAGGGTTAGGTTTAGGCTGAGGGATAA